TAATTGGCGTATCACGAATAAAGTAGGAGGTTTTTGCATTACTATTACACAAGTGCTTGGTTGTACGGATAAAAGAAATTTTCTGAGACTTAATAAGGCTCCTGAGCTTATAAAACAATACCCTAAACTTGTTCACAAACTTGAAATCTCCTTTAAGGATATCACGAATTTTAATAATGATTTCACAAAACTAGCAAAAGAGTTACATAGGGGGCGATATCTCACTTTAAAAAAGCCAAATTATATCCGAGAAAAGGGTAGTGCCGAGTTCAAATATAAATTAACATTTTAAATGCATATCTATAAAAAGAACATAATTTTTTTATCAAATGTTATGGTAAATGTATATTTAATCACTCGGCATAAATCAAATTGTACTTATAATGTTGCTATTGTATATATAAATATTCACAAACACACTATTTATTATACGTTAATATAACTATATTATATGAGCTAGTTAAAAACTTTGTTAATAATTATGCCTGTACAATCATATGAAATATCAAGTTTTTTTCATACTGTGCTGTACTTGACTATGCTGGTTCCGTGTAATATCACATATTGCGCAACTATTTTTATTATTTAATTTCTTTTGTTTTGTTTTTTTTTCAAATAAATTACATTTCTTAAAGAGAAAGATGATAGACAAATATTTGTTAGTTTTATTAATCATTATCACTTATTTAGAAAAGATGGTTAATAACTTACAGATGTGTAATCTGGCCTAATTACTGTAGAGGTTTATTTATCTTTTTTTTTTTAATGATGATTGCTACGAAACTTAAAAGTAGAAATTTGTAATAAATAAATCTATGAATTACTTGCGTAGATTAGAAGAAAAAAATTCTTTCAAGCTCTTTATTATACAGCGTAGAGATGGAATTAGGTTCATTTTTGACTCATTTCAATAATGTTTAATATGTATGCGCCACTACGGGGTACATGGAAATTTTCATTAAAATTTCCTAATTCTAAAATTAGAACCTTTATGCAAGGGAATGCAGGCTTTTAAAGTTATTATAGCGCTTTGCAAAAAGATGTACCCCATGATTTTTGTGATAATGAAAGAGGAAAATTTCCGAGATTCTAGATTGTTATTAATTCATATTCTCGATCAGTTATATTTATATTTACTTTAAATCGATAAGATTCTTAAAATCTACAGAATCTCCGATTTTACGCAACATTGTAATCTGCAGAGGTCACATCTATTTGCAAAGCGCAAGTTCAATGGTTGAAATAAAGCTATCCAACAACTAATAATATCGTTCCTTTAAATAATAATTCATATTGCAAAGAGTGATTCAACATAAGGACCAATAACATTCAAAGATTTCTTTTATATATGTCGTAACTTTTTCTTAAACTAGGATTCTGTTAAAAAAATTTATTTCGATTAATGATCTAAAATTTTTTTACAATTTATTATAAAATCAACAACTAGCTGAAAGGTATTGGAAATGAGGTAAAGAAGAAAATTAAAAGGGCTGGTGATGTCCTACCTACTCTTGAAAAATCTTCATCAATTTTTATGAAATAACTAGCATTATTTTCAAAGTATTTATACCACCCATTGCTAGAATATGAAAAACGATTCTTACCGTTACACAAAAGTTTAACATGAGGCGAAGTAGTTATATTATTTGTTGTTAGTATTATGGGAAAAAATAATTACGCCAAATTTTTATTTAAGGTATTTCTTATTATTTTTCCACATCTAGTAAATATTTGTACCTTATTATTATATTTAGTCTGATAAATTACCTTAATAACTAATTATTATACAATATCAAACCGAATATAACGCAAGGATAGGTTAAAAATTAATAAGAAATTCATTGTAACATGAATTAGCTAGATTAAGAAAGAGCGGATAAACATTGATGTAAACTATTAAGATATAAAGATTTACTGTACATTTTGTCTTTGTTCTATTTAGTTTTATTTCGAATTCACTGTTATAAATTTAATTAGTTCCAAGTTTATATAGGAATGTGTTAGGATTCGGTTACACGTTTATAAACATTCGCCATTTGCACAGTTCTTCGATTTTATAAATTAATTTTTATGAAATGTTAACAACTTTACAAAAAAGCGCCTACAATATTTTCGTTATTGCATAATACAGAGTGTTTATTTGTCAAAATTTCATCTTTGTTAATTATTATAGTGCATACACATACATATACTCACGCCATGGTCGTACTGTACATTACATATATGTCGTACCCCAGATTGGAATCGACACGATTTAGAATTGGGCTATATACCCTGGATGGGATTATTTTGGCAGAATTAAGGTTTTAGAAATCAGCGTTAGTGTTTAGGGTTGGAATTAGGATTTATAATAATAAATATTTAATTTTGGTTAGTATGATTCGGGCCAAAATAACAAAATTCTTCCATGATTCTGAATCGGGGCAGATTCCAATTCGGGCACAACATATATTTATATGTGCATATTTATTTATCGATTTTCATGAAAATATAAATACTTTCCTTTTTTAATTTTTTTCAACTTAACGTTAAATCCTAACGCTAAAAACAAAATGTCAGAAGACTATTATTTAAGTATTTTGAAAGAAGGCATCAATAAAGAATTTAATTTTTACCCATATGATTCATTTAGTGATATAAATCTAAGCGGATTCGGAGGTTTTGGAAATGTATATCAAGCAAAATACCGAGATGCTGATATGCTTGTCGCTCTTAAATCATATGAAGCTAATTCTAATCTCAAGGAAATTGTAAATGAGGTAAAATTTTTAATTTTGTTATAATTAATCATTATTCTAGTTTTTTTTTATTGATAATTATTTTTGATTAGTTAAGGATTCAGAGAACTGTAGATGTACATGAAAATATTATTCGATTTTTAGGTGTAACTAAAAACGAAGGTAAAATCTAATCCATTGTATTAATTTAATATCTCTTATTATGGAATTATTCTCAATTTTTGCTTGATATTTTATAATATTTTATTCTAGGTGATAAATATCTATTAGTACTCCAATGGGCTGACGGTGGAACTCTAAGGAGCTACCTAGAAATGAAATTTATAAACATGAATTGGAACAAAAAATTACAATTTGCCACACAAATTACTAGTGCTGTAAATTATTTACATTCTCGGGGAATTATACATCGTGACATTGTAATATTTAAGATTTTCAATATTCTCGAATAATTTCAATTTTATTCGCAGTTTTTTTAATTTTTTATAAACTGAAAAAATTATGATTTTTTACAACTTTTGTAGCATCCAAAAAATATTCTCATTCATCAAGAAAATATCAAATTAGCTGACTTTGGTCTCTCTCGATGGATTACTGCAAATTCTCGTTGTGATTACGGTGTTTTACGTTATGTGGATCCACAAGCTTTTTTGAAAGCTAGTCATAATTACAAATTAAATAAGAAATCTGACGTTTATAGTGTAGGAATGCTTATGTGGGAATTATCCAGTGGTAGAATTCCTTTTGGTTCTCTTGATGATATGACTATTCAACGAGAAATCTGTTTCAACGGTATTAGGGAAAAAATTGTTGAAGGAACCCCAATTAGTTTTTTGGAAATTTTTCAAAGTTTGTATTTCAAATTTATTACATTAATAATAGTACATAATGCTAAAAAAAAAACTTACCCGATTTTTTTGACTCTAAATCAATAGGGTGCTGGCAAAATGATCCTGACCTACGTCCAACTATGGACCAAGTATATGATAGTCTAAAAAAAGTTGACTTGAATTCTCCAGTTTTTCGAATTACGAGTAGTAATATTTCCCTTCCTTCTACTACGGTTCTTCCTATTACTGATTTATTAGATATTGAAATTTGTGTAAATGGATTTTTAACCAATATTATTCATCAAAATAATGATATTTCAATTCAACATGAAGATGATTCTGCCCTCAATTCACAAGCTAATGAATTATGGAATATATTTGATAATTCAACAAATATTGGAAAAGATTTTACTCAAATTTCAGAAGAAATAATTGAATATCATAGACAAAAACGAAAGGGTATTAAAAAGACATTTGATTGGTTAAAACTTAATAATACAAATACGACGAATTTTGATTCAAATTTACAATGCCTTCTTGGATTTTTTTATTTTATGGGAATTGAAACAAAAAAAAGTGAAGAATCAGCTTTCAAATTATTTAATAATGCTTCTAACAATAATCCAATTGCTATTTTTTATCTTGGTGAATGTTTTAGATGTGGATTTGGTGTTAAGAAAAATCCTATAAAAGCTATTGATTTATATGAAAAATCAAAAAATGATTGTGCAAGATCTATGAATACTTTGGGTTTTTGTTATTTAAATGGAACTGGTGTTGATATTGATAAACGTAAAGCTGTTGATTACTATAAAAAATCTTATAGTATGGGATGTATGTCTGCATGTAATAATTTAGGTATATGTTATGAAAATGGTTTAGGAATTGAAAAAGATAAGAAAAAAGCATTTAAATATTATGAAATATCTGCGGGTCATAAGATTCCACTTGGACAATATAATCTTGCAAGATGTTATCAAAATGGAATTGGTGAAAGGAAAAATCATAAACTAGCAAGATATTGGTTTCAAAACGCAGCAGATAATGGAATTGAAAGAGCTACGAATAGATTAAAGGAAATGTCGTCATCATCAATATCAAAACCGACAAGATTAGCTAGCTTTTTGGTGCCTACATTGTCAAATAATTGAAGATTTTTATTTATTTTTTTGTGAATTAATTATTTAAATTTCATCGATCATTTTTTATTGTATTATAAATATAACTTTTCAAATTTTTCGCACCCCATCTGGCATTTTCCAAAAAGACTTCGCCCAATTTCCCACCCCAATAATTAAACAGTTAAAAATTAGGTCTTTATAAAGATTTTATTTTCATTTAATTCGACATGTAATGTGTTTTCATTATACTATTTTCAAAATTTCCAAAATTTCCAAATTAGAGTTTGCATATTGTATCTCACTTTTAAATTTTAACTTTTCCAAAAGTATAACAGATAATACTAGATTAAACATTTGACAATTTATATATTGAAATATATTGGAATAATAAATATTGCCTCTGATTATTTCGGAATCGTTCGCTTTAGCAAATTTATTCTCATCTGCCATTATATTGATCCCAATCATATTATTCAAATTATTGATCCCTATTTCTTATAAGAATAATATTAAATTAAGTGCCCTATATAAATCCATAGGTGATATTGGTTTCCATGATTAAATTATTACAAATGTTTATTGATCATAAAAAAATAAATTGTTGAATAAACTTTAATCGATAAAAATCAAAATATTTTTTTATGACTTTGATGGAAAACTTCATACTCCTCTGCAGAATAATAAGAAAAGCCATTTATATAAGATGTCGCGTTTCTAATTGGATTTTCATATATTAAATAATTAGTATGATGATATCAATAACTTTTCTCATCGTGATTAAAAGTATCTATCATATATAAAAATCATTATGAAAACCCATATCGTTTTCACGACTTAAAATGGAATTTCGATAGTTCCATTTTTCAATAAAAATAAAGCATCCATCACATTTTGACTGCCAATTTGTTTATCCCATCCAATAGGATTATACCCACTAAGAATTTCGCCAGTGCCTTTAACCTTAAGAACAACAATAATATTTTTTTTGCTTATTGCATAAATTCCAGAGTGTATCTTTAGTAAAACCGTCTTTGCTTCTTGAAGTAATTTAAACTCATATGAATTAATTTTCATAAAATATATCTGTTCTTTTATAAATCCATGAAGTAATTTCAACTATGTGTTCTTCAATAATAATTGTGAAGATGGCTTATTTGTTCGTGATGGTAATATTTGAGCCAACGTAGTAAGAAGTAAAAGAATTTTGACGCTACTGGTTTACTTGGAACAATAAGTCGTTTTTTATATCTTTCCATAGGCTTTTTCAAAAACTTGTTTATAAGGATATACATAATCGTAAATGTCATCTTCAGACATTTGAAATATCAAATAAGTGGTAAGCAGTTTTTAAGGTGGTCTTTACAGCTATTCTCATGAATTCTGGGACAAATAAAAATTTGCTTGCTTCCCGAAATCCCTTCAGTTTCGTCCTATGGATCATCTAACTCTTCGGAAAATACATCGCTATCTCCGGACTGAAGTTCCGAAGACAATGACGTGATTCCGAAAAGTTAGGTGACCTTTAGGACGAAACTGAAGAGATTTCGGGAAGCAGCAAATTTTTAGTTTGTCCCAAATTTTATGAGAACAGCTGTAAAGACAGAAAATTTTCATAAGTCCAATCTTTAGAAACGGATATATAAGATATATACGACACATCATATATCAAAACATTCAATAACTTACTTAAAAATACAGTATAATCAAATTGTTGAACAGATATTTGATTTATATTAATCAGTTTAATATTATTCTTGCCAATTCATTACGAAAATATAAAGACCGATATCTCAAAATAACTGAATATG